GTTGCTTTCTTCAAACAGCGAGAAGCTCAAGCAAGGACGAAACTAAATACCTTATTGTCCTACTTGAACAACAAGAAAGAAAAATTGGCCAATCTTAAAAACTCCAAGATAGAAATTGAAGCGTCCTTGAATAAGATACGGGAATCTGAATCAGCAACAAGGAGCAACATTGTCCTTTTAAAATCAAAGCTCGAGGAAGAAAGCATAAGACAGGAGAATGACAAGGTTTTATTCGCCATCGATAACTTCCATAAAGTCGATCCAGCGCAGAGAAACTTGTGTTTAGGTGGCAAAGCTACCGAGTTACTAAAGACTGAAGAAGAGAAAAGCAAGCTTTAAAACGAGATCAAATCGTCATGCGAAAGCTTAGCAAGCATTAGAATGAGACACCAGGATTTAAACAATAAGCTGATGAAGGTAGAACACGACAGAGAAGCCGTTTCAATGGAAATACAAAAAGGATCAAAGTCAGTGGAGGAGTTGAAGCTTGCAATTGAAGGTGCAATACAAGATAAAGAAACCCTCCTCGAAACAGCAGAGCATGGGAAAGCTGAAATCGATGGTTTGATCTTGGAGTATCAGCAGAATATTTTTGATGCGGATCTGACAGAGGCGCAGATGAATGCCATTGATGAAGAATTGAATCTCGAATTAAGGAGACTAGAACAGTTGCAGACAATGAGAGCTGCATATGGGCAGAGGGTAAAGCAATTGTTGTCTCGTTCGGGTTTGTTGTCTGAAAAGCTAGAAGCATATTTACACAGTGTTTGGGCTTCTTTCGAGGAGGCTAAGATCTTGTTAGGGCTGGATCGCTGAAATGTCTGTTAGATCAATGTTTTTAACAGGCACCTTATGTTTTCCACACTAATTCAGAACTCGAAATCGTGTCAAGTATGCATGTAAATTTTGCTGTAACAAACTATTCCTTCTCGTTAATGTCTTCCTAAAGCAGCAAGGGTAAATACCCTTTCTAAGGGTATTTTGGTACCAACTCCGGTGCCCTTAGTAATTTTTTATTCGAATTTTAAAAATAATACTATTAAAAAAGTATTATAGATATCAAGCATAAATTATAAATATGCTTAATAAATAAATAAATAAATAAATTTGTTAAAACTCCTGCCTAATATTCTTCATTGGAGAGACTGGACAACCTTGTAAGACAAGCATAAACTTATTTTCTTGCAATAGCATTAAAAGAAAATAAAGTCAAATTTAAAATTAAAAGAACAAATTATAGTGTTAAATGTTTTAAAACTTTGTTGAGTGAAACAATTAGTGGAAGTAAATAGAAGCAACCGAACAAATATTTTGACTGGCCAATCTACACGCCGGTCAAAATCATTTAGCATTGGCCAATCTACGCTGCCCATCTTTTAGATCCCTAAAAGCTAACTCATAAATATATCGAAAGAGAGGACTGACCAATTTACATTGTCGAATTTGGTTAAAGTTATTGTGTTCTTTCGTTTTCTTTACCGGATTCTTTAACAGAGTGGATGCCAGTTTTAGCACGCTGGCTGGATCTTGGACGTTTGATTTGGTGTTTATCTATAAATGAGCTTATTTAATTAACAAGTTTGTTTTAAAATTAAAAAAATAATTAAGCTGTGCAAGTATTGACCCATTTGCTTAATTAAGCTGTATATTTATCTTAGTATTCATATTTGTAATTAACGAGAACGAAAACAAAATGTACTAGCCAGAATTATCTTTCGAGATTCTCGGCTATTCTTCCGTGTTGATAAAAATTTTCCTCTCTAATTTGCTTGCTGTATTTCGTTTTGTTCTACCAATTTTATCTTTCACATTCTCGATTTTCCTTTGTGTTTCTTTGTTGATCTGAAAATCTGTTTCAAAATGAATCTACAATTAGATTCTCACGTGGTTACTTGTTTTTTTCAAAATCACGCTTCTTGTTTTTTTTCTATCCTCTGTTTTTCTCTTTGTTCTTTTTTGTTTTGACTGAGAAAATTTAAGGAGAATTATGTACCTTTTAGCCAACGATACCTCCTCAAAAACGAAGGGGGTCACTTTCGATGACGGAGGAGCCGAAGATGGCGAGAAAAGGGATGAGGTTCGGAAAATCAATCGGCGTCACCTCGTCGGAATGCGCGGCGGTGTGTTGTTGTTGTCCATGTAGCATCCTGGAGCTGCTTGTGGTGACCCTTTATAAGTTTCCCGCAAGACTTTGCTGAAAGGCTTGGAGATGGAAGAAGCGACGGTTGATGAAGAAAAATCAAGAGTTGTTTGGTCCGACTAAACGTTGGCCTACGAGAGAGGAATCGGAGGCTGATCTGGACCGCATGATGGAGAAAGGTGAGCATTGTGGAGCTGATAATCATGATGATTGTTGCGCCAGAGTCGAAGATTTTGAAAATAAGACGTGGAATCAATTTCATGAAACTGGATTTTGGAGGAGTCCTTCGGAGAGCGAAATAGGAGAATAAGGCTTTCATTTTTTTTCTTCTCATTTGTTTAGTTATTTTAGTGATTTAATAAAATTAAAATTGTTTGTATGCACTCATTTGTTAAGGTTAGTTGCATCAAGGGCTAATTAATTTGATTTAAAATTAAAAATATTTTAATTAAATTCTTTGAACTATAATATAAATTATGTAAATAGTCTCTTTCATTATATGATTTTTTTCATTATAAAATAATAAAATATTCACTGATTTAATAATAGTAATAAATTGATTTTTATTTAAATTAGTTTTAAATCTTTATATATTGTTTAATTGAATCTTAATTTTAAAAAATTAATTCTAACATTTTTATTAGTTTAATCCTCCTCATTTTTATTCCAGGAAAAATCATAAAGAATGTTGCTTCTTTCTCTGGCTCGCCGTCCCACACTCCCGAAGCCTTCCTCTTCCTTCACACCGTCGCCTTTAAACCACTAATGAGCAATCTCACTAAGTTAAGCCAGGATGAAGGCTCATCCCAAAAGGCATCCAGTATCCACAAAATAAGTATTAGCATTATTTGAAAAATAATTAGAAGTAAATATTTCAAACAATCTATACGTAAATTTTGTGAGATTTAAAAATATTAAGATAGAATTTTATTGATTCTGAGTTGTTAATAACAATTTTTAAATTCGACGAGATTATAATATTTAAAGATAATTACTATCTAATAAATATTCATAGTTTTAATATCTAAAATTATCTTTGATTATTATAGTGCTACGAGTCTAATCAAATTTAAAGATTGTCTTTACGTCTTAAAATCAATAATTTATTGTCATTATATTCTTAAATATCATAATGTTTATATATAACATTTAAAAAAATAAATGTTTAACTATAATCTTCTAAATATAACATGTCTTTGTTTTACCAAATGCTAGTTAAATTAGATCTTTCTCAACTTTAATAGTGAAAGACGTTTCCCATATATATAACATGTCTTTAATAAAAAAAATACCGATTTAATCAATAATGTATCTTAATATTATTTTGATAAATAATAAAATATCTGGATATTAGATGCACTAGGTTACATAATAAAATATTGGATAAACTACACATTTAGTATTTAAACTATCAAATTTGTTTCGTTTTGGTATTTAAATTTTTATTTATTTCAAAATTATACATAACATTTATTTTTTTGTTTCGTTTTGGTACCTCGCCGTTAGAATACTTAGCATAACTATTACAACATGACACTTTTTATGGGTAAATTATATCATTCACCACTCAACTGTCTTTTCACTCTTATTTTGGTCACTAATATTTATTTTTTTAATTTAATTACTTAACTTTCAAATTACTCATAATTTAATCATTACAACTTTCAAATTTGATTTTTTATTTTAATTATATATTAATAAAAATATCATGTCACAAAATTATTAAAAAAATAAATTAGAGTGATTAAAACATGAGTAATTTGAAAGTTGAGTAGTTAAATTAAAAAAATTAAACTTTAGTAACTAAAATAGAAGTGAGCATATAATTAAGTGATTAATGGTGTAATTTACCCATAGAAAATGCAGTTTAAGTTACAATAAAACAAAAAGTAAACGTTAGGCATAATTTTGAAACAAATGAAAGTTTAAGTATTAAAACAAAATAAAACAAATAGTTTATATACTAAATGTGTAATTTACTCTAAAATATATTATATTGTTTAGTTAGAAAAAGTTAGTTTTTGTAACTTTGGTTAGGTGGGAGTGACGGAATGATTAAAAGAGAGAGAAGAAGCGTCAAAGGGACTACAGTTAAGCTGCCACGTCAGAGTCGAGAGGACCCCAGCTTTAGGTTCTTTGTTTAATTGTTTGTTTTCACTTCCTTTTCCCCATCCCAAAGTCTCCTCTTACTCGCCACTCTCTTCACTCCAGTTTCACACTATAATAAAAGTCATTCCTTTCATTGATTCCCAAAAGAACAATTCACAAAACAAAGAGAAAATTAACCCAAATTCAAACTCTTTCGTTTTGCACAATCTTCAAAATAAATAAAACTCTAGTTATTTTTAGAGCCCCTGTTTTATTAATCGATATGCTGTGTTGATCATCAGCTGCTTTTCTTTTGAACTCTCGAATGGAGGTAAAGTATATTATGGGTGTTTCTTTGATTTTGTTTCCGGGGTACTTTTGGAGGTGTTTGGCCGGTCAGAAAATGGAGTTAAAAAGTTTTAATATTTTTATGGGAAAAGTTGGTGAATTTGCCTGGATTTTTAGTATCGGTTCTGAATGTTGGAGTTTCTGTTTTAGTAAACTTTAATTTGTTTGATGTTTCCAGGGATTAGTTTTGTTGATCTTATGTTAGAATAACTGGTTTGTTGCATCTGATCATTATGGTGTCTATATCTTCATTGTTGATTATACATGGACTATTTTTATGGACAAGTCTTTACCAAGGTGTTGAACATTTTACGCTGGTCACCGTTGGTTCCACTTTTGTATCCAAGACTTAGCTGAGTTTCATTTTTAATGGTAAAATTTGGAATTGAGATTGACAATATAACGTCGGTGCTTGGCCTTGTAGAGTATGGAAGATACCAAGTCCGAGGCTCATTTAACCTCTGCTTCAGCATTTGTGGAAGGTGGAATCCAGGATGCTTGTGATGATGCTTGTAGCATATGCCTTGAAGAATTTTGCGAAAGCGATCCATCCACTGTATGCTTGCCTGAAAAATTTATTTTGGATTTTTGTTGGATACGGGGATGGAGATCTTTTGATCCTTGTTTGTTCATTGTTCTTTTCCTTACAGATGACAAGCTGCAAGCACGAGTTTCATCTGCAGTGCGTTCTTGAATGGTAGTATGAATGAATCGAGTACCTATTTTATAAGTTCATTATAGTTCTTAGTTCAGGTTGAATCTGCACATATAATTAGCAATGGATCGATGATCTAGTTTTGATTTTGAAAGTGGTTATCTACTTACTTTATAAATCAGTCTGGAAATGACTTAGTTTCATAAAATTCTCTAATTCACTAGTAAAATTGAGAAATATTTAATTTAGCTCACATTATTGCCTTAGGGTTTAGATATTTGGATTCTATAGATATTGTTTATCTTACTTGGACTCTTCATGTTCTCTGAAGTATCTGTATCCGACACATATTCGGACATTGATATGGCGGCATGGTCCTCTAAATATACGGACAAAATTGGAAACAGGTTAAGCATAGTGTGTGAGAAAACATATACTTATCCGACACTCTCCCCTCTTGTTTTGATTACAAGTTATTTTTAGTGTTGTAAACGCAGGAAGCTTTGTAATTTATAACAGAATTAGATAATCCAATTATGATGCTAAAGTAAATAAATTTGTGTTCTAGTTGTCCAATACTAATGCACTGATGGGTCAAATTAAGAATTAGGGGGTGACTTTTAAATATGAAAGCACATAGTCGGTACTCAGATTCATTTTTTATCACCATAGAAGAGATAAACGTCCTATGATTCTTCTAGATGTCAGTTATGTTGGTTGAATGGAGTTATTGTTGAGTGTGTATAACATTTTTGTAGATGCCGGTTATTGTTACTTGTTGAAACTGCTTCTCTCGGCTGGTCCATCACCACCATCAAAGGATTTTATTATGGAACAGAAATAAAGAGTATGGTGATGACATAGAGGTGTTTAGTGGTACATTAGTGGTATGCTGTGTCAATGGAGGTTTTTGGAGTTTTCTCACATGAACGTGGAGATAAATATTTCTGAAATTTTGTTTATTCTAGTACTTGAGGAATATTGAATATTGGAGTGATAGAGATGATTTGTTTCGAATGTCACATTCACGTGAAATCACGTGAAATCTCCAGTTTAAAATGATGGCCTTTCTTCCACCCTACTGTCATTCGATCTCAGAACTAGTCTTGAACAGTGATCTATGATTCTAGCATAGATTTGAAAAAAAAATGAAAACTTCAAACTTGAAGTCTGGTTTTCATTAGATGGGATGCTTGAGAAGAATCTGCAAAGAATATCATTGGCAAGTGACAACTTCAGTTATTCTGGGCCTTGGGTCATAAAATAATTACATACTATAAGAATTATGTGGCCCTCATGATCTGCAATAATTCCACTTGATAAAAGCATCTGATGTGAATTTATGGGTTGTTTTGAAGATCATTGATATATTACTTGTGCAGGTGTCAAAGGAGTTCTCAGTGCCCCATGTGTTGGCAGCCAATTAGCCTGAAAGATCCAATTAGGTACCGTTTCATATATTTTTTATTTCCTTTTTTTTCAAAGTTTCATTTACTGGTTTTATATTCCTCTAGCTGGTGTGTATTGGAGGCTAATAATTTATTTTTCTTTGGCAGTCAGGAGTTGCTTGAGGCCGTTGAACATGAAAGGAGTTTTAGGTTCAATCCATCTAGAAATGCAACCATATTCCATCACCCGACTTTGGGGGATTTTAACCTACATGTATGTATTTCTCGTTATCTTATTAGATTTATGTCATTCTCTTTTTATGATCATCATGTTGAACCTAAAGCCCAAGGAGCCACATTCTCATGCTTTGCTTTCAACACAGCTGCCTGTGGGGGCAAATGAAGCTGAGCTCGAGGAGCGGATAATGCAGCACTTGGCTGCTGCTGCTGCAATGGGGCGAGCACGTCACATTACAAGAAGGGAAGGTCTGAGGAATAGGTCATCTGCTCAAGCTTGTCCACGGTTCTTGGTAGTTTCATCTCATCCGAACTCTCCCTCTACTAGTCCTTTTTCATCATCCCCAACTCACAGAGATGGTGAGCCAGCCCCTGCAAATACCGTTGGCTCTCCATACTCTCAAGAGAGAACTGCGGGGGGAGAATCTTCAGTATCAATTACTCCTATACCTTCTGTGCAAGCTGATCAACAGTCCTCTTCAGCATCTGGCTCCAGTGTTCTTTTGGTCAATGATCAAGGCTTGAACAATAGGTACTTGTTGTTTTCTAACTCGATTCTCCTTATTTTTCTGAGCTGAATTTCTTTAGAAATTTTCAACCTTTCGTTATGTCAATCTCAATAATATCTTCTGTTGTTCTCTTGCTGGAGGTCTCCTAATCAATCTCCTAATAGTCATGATAGAGCAGGACCTTCAGAATTCCAGTCATTTTCAGAATCATTAAAGTCAAAGTTTAATGCTGCTTCAATGAGGTATTGGTCATAGACAAACATTTGATATTTTATTTACGCCCCAGGGTGATATTTCAATGATTCTTTTACATGATATATTCTAAATTTGTGACTATATTTTGAGTTATGGATATTTTTAGATACAAGGAGTCAATTTCAAAGAGTACAAGGGGGTGGAAAGAGAGGTTTTTCTCTCGCAACACTTCCATGTCAGATCTTGGTTCTCAAGTTAGGAGAGAGGTTAATGCTGGCATTGCAACAGTCTCGCGAATGATGGAGCTTTTAGAAACCCGAGATAATAGAACTAGCATGGCTACTGTATCAAACAGTTCAGAAGACAGGTCTAATCCAGAATCAAATAGTCAACAGATTTCCAGTGCTGGTGGAGAAGCTACTCCGACTGAAACCAGTGCACTAGCTTCTTGTGCCACAAGTTCTGCTTCCAAATAAGTGACATATTCGTATCTGCATCACCCAAAGATGTTTTAGCATAAAAAGGTAAGCTAAGGTGTTGAATGATGCTTGTTTTCAGTTGCAGCATATTAATGATAATTTCTGATGTAAGTTATTAAACTTGACTATCACTAGGATGATCGGTTCTACACAGTCTCTCATAATTCATATCTTCTTAAGTTATACACACACTCACGCACATGCATACATATAAATATTATGTTGCTTTCATTCAATCTCTAGTGCTTACATATGCTACATCTGGTGGCCCCATAGTCTTTCCTTCTCGAATTCTTAATTGCTAACTCCAACGTTAACGTGTACAAAATTGATATAAAATTGCAGACATTTAACTTGGAATTCTGATTGTACTGTACCTACTTTGTCGCTCCAACACTTTCTTTTTTCTCTTTACGAGTGTCTGATATATTTCTGAACTCGGGCATAGAAATTTAACCCTCCAAATACATGAAAAATAGTTTTAAAGTTGAACATACTTGTATAGGATATGTATTCATGTTCGACACCCTCACCTGAGACCAAGTGACATTGGACTGAGCTACACATGAACATCAAAGTAGCATGCTAATAAAAGTATAAACTTTCTTACATAGCTTAATTCTTTTGCTTTAACATTGTCTTTGGTACTTCTTCATTTCTTAATGGGCACGACTTCTCTGATTGTGGATCAAATGTTCTATTTCCAGATATGCCCCGTTTTTCATAGATATTTGGCAGACATGAAGAAACCAGTTGGTGATCGAGAACTGATCCAGAATGGAACATATGCTACTGAGAAACAATTTAGTTTATGTTGAAGACTACAGAAATTCTAGTTTGACAAGTTCCAAGGTCAATGGGATCATACACATTTAAAAACGTCTTGGTATTTTGCTACTTAATAATTGTTTCAGGCACTTGTTGTCTTGAACGTTATTCTGGTTTTCAACATAATTTTGTACTTCCGTACAACCTTATTATTAGCTTGTGAAACATTCATTTTCCACTGTACCAAAATAATAATACTTATTTTAAGATTGAATCATTTTTATCTAAATCGATTCAATGTTGGATTTGAGGAAGCCAAAAATATTTTGCACCCATTAAAAAATTGAAACATTTTGACTACATCCATATCAAACACAACACGAACCGTAAGACTTCAGGTAAATTAAAATTTTACCTACGATCTTCAATTTATGCTCCATTTACTATCAACATAGGGTATGTTAAATTTCAACCTTGGTCACCTATCCATGCTCCTTGACATGAAGAAGTCGATAATTGAACGGACCATTAGTTTTTTTCCCCGGGACAATTAGGTGTATTAAAATTTAAAACTGTAAAAGCGAGCTATATTAACAACGGAAATGTCTTTAAAAAACCATAGAAATGAGAAACAAGGGATCGCCTTATCCATGAATCATAACAGGAAACCAACAGGACGTAGAGAACTGCAGAAAATATAAAATAAACCTCAGGATAGTATGTCAACATCCCTGAGGGTAATTATCAGAAATAAACCAAGAGGATGTAGCTAAACTAAACTAATCAAACTCAGTAATATCGTGAACCAGTATCACATGCACGCCCCCCTGGTATGAACCTTTAGGTTCAAACCCCTGATCTCTGGCACCCCCAAGAAATCGAGACCTCTCTCCGTAGGAGTCAAAGTTATCAGAGTTATATCCTCTATGTGCGTCTCCAACAGCAGCAATGCTACCATAACCATGGGGATTATTAACTGTACGAGGATAATAGTCCATCACTGCTTGCTGGTATTGTTGTAGTCGTACAAGAGATTCCTTTCGCAGGAACTCATCTCTGCGATTGGCGTGCCGTGCTCGAAGTGCTGTTAGCTGTTCCTGATATTGGGTATTGATTGCATTTATTTTCTGAAAATTAAAAAACAAATTTGTTACCACTATGCAAAACCTATGCAGTATTGTTGAAAACAAGGTTAACCAAGTAACATCTAAAAAATGGATAGGTGTCTGAGAACAAGAATGTATATGCCAGTTTACTTCATTAAATAACTTCCGTACAAAGGCATCGTTTATGTCAAATGCAATAAAATGGAATCATACCTGAAGAATAGCCCCTCTTAAATACACCCTATTAAATGAAGCCAAAACTTTAGACAGAGGTGGCAAGTGGCAATTATAAACGACTAGCTCGTACATATAGACTGCCTATCCAGAATAATAGCAAGTACAGACCACAAAGTTGCATATTATGATGAAAAAGTTTCAGTTTTGGAGAAAACTGCTGCTTTTAGAATTTGAATTCTGATTGCTTAGGGCACACAGGCAAAAACATGTAATGGAAAAAGTTTCCTTGTTTGTAAAAATTGGTTTTGCCAATTACACATTGGAACATAAGCAGCTAATATTGAGAATACGAAGCAAAATGAACTCTATATACACACTTCTCTATGTCTAGTATTTTCGACATCCTCAGCATCGCTCTGTTCTTTAGCAAGCTTCATTATGTCATCGTGGAATTTCTTCTCAAGACCTTCCAAAGTTGGTGGCAGAACATTTTGCTCATAGCCAACTTCCATATTTTCATCATGGGGTCGAGATCTGAGATCGGCATTTTTTTTTCTCTAAAGATAGGCTGGGATCTGGCCTCTGGCCCTGGAAAAAAAGTTCTTGATGGCCTATCCAACATTAAACAGCTCCAATAAGAGCAGTGGTCCAACAGAAATTTTAAGCCCAATTAATAATGAAGTAAAGGCATTCCATCTTATGCCATTCTCCCAGTTCTTTAAGAATATAAAGATAAAGTTATCAGAGTAATAGAAGAACCCCAATCAATCACAGCATTTTTGCAGAAAAGTACTTCAGGACATTCAATCATCAGCCAACCCGTGTTACACTCATATGTTACTTGAACACAAATTGTGAACGTCGAACACCACTATCTGTCTGACACCGGAATGTTCAAAATTTTACATGATTTCCTAGTACCTGGAGGGTCTTTGGAGGATCATATCCTCATACGTATGTGTGGATATGCATCGGACATCACTACTTCAAGAAAAAGGAAGAGTAAAAGCAACGTACAGAACTCCATATTGTTCATAATGTGTTTCTTATCTCTCACTTAGAAAAATTATGAAAAATAAATAGACCATGCTTTAGGAGCAAAAACACACAGTATGGGGAACAAAAACAAGGATAGTGCAGCACACTAAGAGAAACAGGTCAATGAATCTGGAATAGCAAATACCAACACTCCAAAAGGTAACATGACCTGACCTGCCAGTTCCACAGGCTCTACAACCACAAACCATAAAGTAAAGGACTTAATGGGACATTACAAACATGAAACATTTACCTATCTAAACATAAGTGTTTTAACACTTTATGAGATAAATTATCTTTCATTTTAAAAGGTATGATCTAAACCTCTTTTCCACCAGGGGAGCATGAGACCAATACCATAACTTTTCATTTTATGGTTAATGTGCCACAAGAATGGCCAGGTTGCAAAGAAGATTTGGAGTAGCCTCTCAGTTTTTGAGTAGAGAAAAGAAAAAACGATATTCTAGATTTGTTTTAGTTAGATTTAGAAAGCATCCCTAACAAGATGTTAAAGTAAATATGCTAAAGTACAAATTGAAGTGCTGCAAATGCCATAACCCACATCTAATATTGTCGTACAGCTATAATATCCTTGTTCATAGTTTATACCTGATGTTTGCTTCTCTACATCTATTCTTTCTACAGTTTTATAGACAACAAAAGCATATAAAATAATGCAAGGACATCTAGTTAAGACACACACGTAGAGAGAGAAAGAGCGTCCAGAAAACAATCTTGCCTTCATTGAACATTTTGGGTGTCATTGGATTTGACACTTTCGATCCATCTCTTTCCCACCTCCACTGGCCATCTGATTTTGGAGTTTGATATGGTTGATCCCTTTCAGGGGTAAATGCTTCTAGTTGTCCTTGAAATTGATCAGACTTAACCTCCATCCTCTGTGCAGGCATATGCTGCATCTGAGCAGAAGCATATGCATTCCCACCAGAGTCGACATATTGCCCCTTTCGTCTCATCAGTCTTACTTTGAAACAAGCTTCAAATATTGAACCTAACAAGAATGAAAGCAACCACAAACAAAATCTCATGACATTATTTCACAAGAAACTGATATAGAACAGTATTAAGTCATTGCATAAGGAGGGGATAAATTTTAAGTTGAATTACTAGAAAGAGCCACCCCTATCCACACATCAATAAATACAGCTCGTCTCTAATAAGCAAGACCTTTCAAATTTCAGCTAACTGCTAAAAAATTGAAACGTCACGCCGAAATCGTATCTATTACAAAATTTAAGTTCCCACAACAAAGCAATAATACAAGCCACATGCTAATACTATTGTGATTGGAAAAAGAAAAATTTCTCTCAAGTTTATGGTTTCGAAAATTACCTTATTTGATTTTTTGGTCTGTCGGAAACCTGAAGGCGAGAGAAAAATTAAGTCAGGGACTGGCCGATGAGCATAGGGAACGGAATAAAGTGGGAGGAAGAGAAAGACGAGGCTTGTTTGGCGGCGGAAATGCGTGAAGAGGATTTGAGAGCGGGTCGGAAGATTTTAACCCTATGCTTGGATCTAGGGTAAAGAAGGTAAAGTAAAATAGAGCAATTTTTTTTTTCGTTTGAATACATTTTTGAATAAACTACCTATCTGAAGCTTTATTTACTTTTATATTTTTATTTTAATCATTTAATTATTTTTAAATAAAATTATATTTACATTATTTTTATTAAATAATTAATAAATAAATTTAATTAAAATAATAACAATTAATCTTCAAAATTTTATATATTCTATAAAATTAAAAAAGTATTATCTTTCCATCTTTAGTTTTATTTTCATATACGATATCATCACCATATATAATGTCACTAATAATTTTTTTAACTGACTACTCATTTTGGGTTAAAAATATATTTTCTATATACAAGTATAACATTATCAATTTTGTTTATTGTCGTAACCGTCTTTCGGTTAGGCCCCGAAATTAGACTTCGACTTGAAAATTGTGGATTGAAGTCTCCACCGACCATTTTAAAACGAATTTAGGTGGGTCGGACACCATCTTACATGATCTGCATTTTTATCATAAATGTGTCGGGTTCGGGAGTCGGTTACGGTCAAGGAAGGATTAGCACCCTTGAACCGCCCTTTCGGTACCAATTAATTTGCCGGTTGTCTTAGTTGCGAAAATTCGAAATTAAAATTTAACAGACCCGATTCAAATTACTTACAATTGATTGATTTGAATACCCTTAAAAGATAAAATCGTTTGACTCGTAGCAGAGTATAAAATCGAATTAGGATAGCAAGTGTGCAAACGTGAGAATAATAAATAAAACAAGAAAAAATGAAAAATAACAAAACACGTAAAAAAATAAAATAAAAATAAACAAAATGAATAAAATGTTAAAAAAAAAGACACAGATAAAGGAAAAATATTAATGGAGTAAAAAAATAAAAAAGGTAAAAGAAATTAAAAAGGAATAAAAATAATGTGTACATATAAAATAATATTTACTAAAATAAATAAAATAATAAATATATAATACTAAGTAAAACAAATAAAAAAATAAAGATATAAATGATATTAAGAAAAAAAAATAATAGGAAAAATAAAATAAAGTAAAAATATAATATATATATATAAATAAATAAAAATAAAAATAGAATATTAAGAAATATATATATATATATATAAAGACGTATAAAATATAATATTAAGAAAATATATATATACATAGTAAATGGAGAAAAATTAATACATTTATACATATATATATATATGTATATGTATATATATATATATATATATATAATGATATAAGATATATATAATAAAAATAATATAATATAAATAAAAAAGGAATATAGTAAATAAATAAAAAATATAATTAAAAATATATATATATAGGGGACGAAATTAATATAAAACTAAAATTAAAGGGTAAATTTCAAGGTAAATTAAAGATTAAGATTGACTTAGGGGGAATATTAAATACTTTAAAAAATGAACATACATCGGGAGTAGATTTAGGTTCGAAACTTCGAAACTCTACCCCTTTTTGGTCATCGGCGCAACCCATGCTTTGGGTTATTCAAACCAAATCTCAAGAAAAATAACATGCACATGCGAGAAATCAACGAATCAATGTAAAAAAAGATGCTACCTTTTATTTCCTTTTCGAATCGTTTACAATAGCTTTGCCTTTGTATTTTTTCGTGCTTTCCTCTGTATCTTCTATGTAAATCGTGTGTTCCAAATGGGGAGGATTACATGTATTTATAGTGAAAAAAACTAACTATTTTTAGAATCCTATTAACAATAGAATCCTAATGCAACTAGACTCCTTGCTCGGTTGTTGCATGTTTGTTGGTGTGGTTGTTGCTTTAAAAGATATGGTGGTGGAAGAGTCCTCTTAGGAGATGAACTCTTGCTAGTTCTATCTTTTAAGAAAATGGGTGTCTACAGCTGCCCCTCTTTATCCTTTTTCGTGGAACGAAAAATAGGACAAAGATAAAAAGACATAAATTTTCGATCAGTGGAGTTGAAGAATAACTCCCTGTCGAATTGAGTTGCGGATGGCTCTTCCGTCTCGAAGTCGAGTCCATCTTGAAATGATTTGAATAAGAATGTGGCTTCTCGTTGTAGTCCACTTTGGTCTTCTTCTCGGTTTAAAGACCTTGGCTAAAAATTCGACTGGAAAGTAATCTCTTGACTCCACAATGTGGTTGATATGCTCTTGAGCTGAATGAAATCGAACTCGAAAAGTCTTCGTTGACAGATAGCTTTTCTCGACTTAAGCTATGCTGACGGAAAAAAGGCTTCTTGCTACTAAGTCACGGCTAACCCATATCTTATTCTCGGCTTGAAAACCTCGATTACAGCCGGATAATAGTGTGATTGAGGTGTTATCGAGCTGAATGGAATCGAACTCGATAATTTTATTAACAGATATCCCTTCTTACCTTGAGTTATGCTGTAAATGATGTGCCTTGGAGCTAAGCGTAGTCAAACTCGAAGGTCTTTGTTGACAGATAACCCTTCTTTGAGTTGGATATCCTTCGTCATGAAGTTGAAATACAATCTAGAGATGGATGTTGCTTGTGTGCACGATTCCCTTCGTCGTGAAGTTGAAACCGCAAGTGGCACCTTCGTCGTGAAGTTGAGCCTGGTAATTGGATATCCTTCATCGTGAAGTTGAAATTCAAGTAGGTAGTATTGTTCAAAGTCCAATATCCTCCGTCATGAAGTTGAAATTGGCTCTGAAAATTGTTTGTTGACAGTCAGCCGCCCCTTCGCTGTGAAGTTGAGCTTGTGTTGTCTCGAGTTCAATATCCTTCGCTGTGAAGTTGAAGTTTACTCTGAATGAAACTGAAAAGTTGTTTGTTGACAATCAGTCGCCCTTTCGTTGTGAAGTTGAGCTTGTGTTGTCTTGAGTCCAATATCCCTCGCTGTGAAGTTGAAATTGGCTCTGAAACTGGGAAGCCTCTTCGTCGTGAAGTTGAGCCTCAAATGGCACGATATCCTCCTTCGTGGAGTTGAAATCATGGATGTGCGGGTACGATATCCTC